TTGATAAGCTTTTGGAGATCATAGACCTTCAGAGAGAAAGGCGTTGCTGTACCAGATGCTTTGATATGGACTGTGCCTACTTTTGATAAAAACCAGATATTTCTATTGTTACTGGTTTTTCTTCAGAGAAACTAATGCTACTTTAATGGACATTCCTTTATTATATCAATTTTTTTATGAAGTATTAAAAATCAGTAGCACCTCATTTTAACTCTCGCATTCTTAGAAAAAAGAGCCCAGTACCTTCATAATTAAAAGATGTTAGAATAAAAGGGAAACAAATTTTAAAAAAATATTTTAGAGTCAGTTCTCCTTCTATTACCACATATTTGATCCTGTTTACCCTCATTTACCACCCCTCTCCCCCCTTACCCTCTGGTAATCACTAAACCATTGCCTGTGTCTATGAAATTTTGTTTCTTTGTTTGCCTTGTTCCTTTGCTGCTTTCAGTTTTATATCCCACATATCAGTGATATATAGATGATGTATTACAGAATTGTACACTTGAAACCTATGTAATTTTACTAACCATTGTCACCTCAATAAACTTTATTTTTTTAAAAACAAGAGAAACTAAAAAAAGAATTGTTTTTGATTTTCATATAGTCTAGTACCAATAAAAACACTATTTGTGAAAAAAATATTTTAGAACAAAACAAAATACAACAAAACAATCATACCCTGATAAAAAATGCACTCATTAGATAGAAGGAGGATGCAATTATTATTATGAGAATGTGAGGAGAAAAAGCCAAAGAAATATATATTTAGTATATTAAATGAGTAAAATCTTTGGTATAAAACTTAATAGGGGACAGGAAAATATAGATTTATAAATCACCTTTGCAGTTCCCTACAACCCAAGCAAAAAATATATATATCTATACTTACAAATTTAAACTATCCATGGAAGTTGGGCAAAATGGTAAAAGAACAACATAATGCCTACTGAAGAAAAGTTTATTGGACCTGAATTATATTCTTCGTCTATCTACAGTAACTGAACTATTTGAATAATCATTTAACTTTCCACTGTGGGAGGCATGTGTAAACATAATTTCATACCTTAAAGCAATTCTGATAGAATTATGTTATAAAATTTATCTAGCTTTGTCGTATCATTGTGTTTAAAGATAACACCATTTATTTGCTTTAGACTCTTTACAAGTATGCGTAGTACATATCCTTGATTCTTTAATATGCACAATGTATGTCAAATTGCCAAATGTGCGTTAGTTTTGACAACTTTAATTTTCCTGAAAGAAGAAAAAGAACTCTTCAACTTTTTATAGTTAATTTTGGGACAGAAATTGTTTTTGACATTTAGAGCCACTGTCTTATTACTTAATTTGCCTCTGTAATCAAGGTGGCTTTATTGTACCTGCTGATGTGATATTAATTAAAAAATACAAGAAAAAATTCCTTTTGCAGTTTTGGAATCAAATAGCTTCAAAAACACATCTGATAAATAATAAATCACTGTGTCTTCTATATGCCATTAATTTTTTAGTACATCATTTGGTCTGACACTTCAAAATAGAATAACCACACAAGATAACAAATTTTTAGTTTTAAAGGACCAACTCATAGGTCACTTTGCATCACTTAAAATAAGATTAAGTACTCCAAACAGTAAATAAATATAATTACTGTTACCCTATAAATAACTTGTAAAAATTATTTTATCATATAAAATAAGTCATCCACTTATAAGAAATATCTGGTAACATGTTATTAGCTTATGAGAAATACCCGAATATGATCTGCCAAGTGAAGCTGAAAAAAATTTTAACTAACTAATTACAATTATAACAATATTAAAGCCTTTCTTCTGTTGCTGAGAATGTGGAGAAAACCTTGCCATTGACTGCCTAAGTAGTGTGAGATGGAGCAAAAACTTTTGGAAGAAACAAATATAGAGCCAAGAAGTAAGGAAGGAGTTGAGGGGCTTTAGACTTGGTGGCATATATTTGCATATATTTTTAGTACCGACTGATATAGTAATTATGCTGTCGAAGATACAACTGAGCCTGAATGGACAGCCTTGGCTCATGCTTTGCACACAAGTCATGCTTCTATATGACCCACATACTGATATGGCCAATGGTTTAAACTTTGTTTTCCTTACTAGGTAATTAGAGTCAGCAAAGTTTCTGGCTCATACCCAGGTCTTCAGAGTCTATACAGATTTGATTTCAGTTAATATCCTGCACTTCTGATTATTTCTCAGGAGCTCTATCTGTGTCTTGATTCTTGACTGATTGCATCCATTGCTGCAAATTTAAAGTGATATCTTTGAAGCATACTCTCCATTCCCGATTGCCTTCCATGGCTGTATGAAGAGAACCCACTTTACTTTTCTAATCCCACATTTCACTCTCTTATATGAGACACATTAGTAATAGTCAAGCTACTAACTGCTGCATCCTCTTCAGGATTCACATACCACCAATTATTATACATTTAGCTTTCTCACACTTTATCCTAAGCCCCATATGCCTGTTTTTACCCAGCGGATACCTAGTAATCTTGACTGCCTTCTCAAGTCTGGAATCTGCTACACCTCTGGACTTTCTCTTGTCTTATAGCTTGGCCAAACTGTGTTCCTGGCACGCAATAGAGCACATAAGCATCTAGTATATCACCAGGTCTGTGTTAATGTTGTATTATAGCACTCAGTGTGTATCAATTTGCATTTTGTGATTTTTTTTCTGTGGGTAGTGTAGGGATAATTCTCTGCTATTCTTGCAAGGAAACAGTGGTAAAGCCCCCAAATCAAGGCTTACTACATTATTAGGGCCCTTGGGGAAAGCCTGAAGTGTGTCCCTGCTATTGAAAGGTTTTTGAGTGACATCAAAATGATATATTTTAACATTTCCCAAATGCATAATGCATGTGTCTGTTAATTCTCAAGCTCCGTTAGGCAATAAGAAGTGAAAGGAGCACTGAACAAGGCATCAAGGGACCTAGGTTCTAGCCTTTTCTCTGCCACAGACTCACAGAGGTACATGACCCTGTCACTTCAACTCTCTGAGCCTCAATTTTCCCAATTGTAAAATGCAAACTGTCAATCTTTGTCACTTCCCAAAGCATAGAAGAGTCTCAGATGTTTGCCATTGCTCCTGTGAGTGATAGGATTTGAATTTGTTTCTGATCATTTTTTTATTCTCTGACGAGGGTTCTGCAGACTGATTCTTGAGACCTATGGCACAAAAGGAAGACTTTTGGGATGTCACTTTAATGGGCAAGTGAAATGTTACTTACTATCTGTGGTCCCTTCTCTCAGAAATAGGTAGGGGTGACAAGAAAGAGTTAAATTCCCTTTCTGGTTTAGGATATCTGATTGGTGCCAAAATTGTCTATGAGAGTAAAGTATTTTTTCTTTCTCTTCTTCATTTTAGTTAGCTAGTGCAAAGGTGGATAATTGAGTTCATTCATTCCTAAGAATCTCTAGGTGGAAATTCCATGAGGTTTTTGGAGGAGTCAATGCTCTACTTTTTGTTTATTCACCTTTACAATAATCAGGACCACATTACACTGCCCTCAACAGAAAATATAAAGTAGATGGTTCCTGTCTCACAGAAATATTACTGCAAATGTATAGTGAGATAGAGTAGTACATGTGTTCATAAGTGCAAAGAACATTTTCTGTGATTAAAAAAAAAAACAAGATCTGCCCTCTGACACAAACTTCTTGGAGGACAGCTTTTATGTGATCCAAATATTTGCTAGTGTGGCTGGTGGAATCTTTCCCTGGGCCAAACAATTGAATCTTATCTATATGATTGATGCCTTTTCCAACATACTTGAGATTTACAGTAGATGCAGGAAAGAAATACTCCTTGGTGAATGATCCAAAGCTCTCTAACAAATAGTCGCTCTGCTAATTGAATAAAATTATAACTTTTTTGTTCCCTGGAAAGATTAGAGCAATATAAAATGAAGTTGATGCACACCACTGTTGACAGCAGAGAAAGGAGCAGGAAAGCCATTTGAGATTTAATTCTGGGTCATGTTGCACTGTGGAAATACATCCTTTCTTTTAATCTGTGAATGCAGCTCTTAGCAGTTACATGCCATTGATAGTCTCATTGTTTGGTTTAAAGTTAGAAGGCACCTTCCTTAGTATTTTCTCTTTGAGCACAAAAGAGAAACAAGATGCAAGTCAGGAACAATTTCTCATATATTTTGTTAAACTAAGTCGGTCATAAGTATCTAAAAATGTAAATTTAATCCAAAATTATTTTTATCCATTTTTTTATTTTTAAATATACTGATTATTTATTCTGGTAGAAATAGCTTATCTATGAGATACAGAGCAACTGTTCCCTTTGTCTTTCTTATTCCCCCTCTCTCTCATTATAAATATGTTTTTTCCTGGATTGCTTTTTTTGAAAGCAGAACTTCTACAGCTAACATTAGTTACAATTCACTTTTACAATAAAAATATGTAACTATGTAACTCATACAAGCTGATAGGAGCATGTATTCATGTTGGTCAAGGTCCTGAGACATTACACCCCTCTTATTTTTTAAATCATAGCTCATTTTTAAAATAACACAAATATAACTATTTTAATCATCCAGCAAATAAAAATATTATCTCCAAAAAGTTGTAGCAGAGTAAATAAAAACCATCCTGCACATTCATGCAAGTAACTCAGTAAGAGTTGGTTAAATTACACATATTCACAAGACTATTTTATTCAATATCAATTGAGCAAAATACATTATAAAAAACCTCTCCATATCAAACTTACATTTCTCCAGGTTCAAAGTTACCTCCCCCCTCCCACCTCAGGCAGCCAACCATACAATTATTTTTGTTTGTGCAAATACCAAGGAAATGACATACGAGGATGGTCCAGGTTTATTATATTCATACCACTCTTAGATCTGACAGGTTACCCAGAACCTGGTGTGAAGAGGACAATTCCAGATATCAAGAGTGAAAGGCACAGAGAAAGAGCTAATTAAGCATTAAAAAACTGGAGCCTACCGTTTGTTTCTTTCTGTTTTCTCCAGAGATCTTCAAAGAATTCATGCGACAGCCACTGCAACAGGGATGCTACTGATCTGTGCTTCAATTCCAGCACCCTGTTCTGAGAACAACCAATCCAATCCCCCTTCATTACCAGAAGAAAAGAAAGAAAGAAAGAGAGAGAGAGAGAGAGAGAGAGAGAGAGAGAGAGAGAGAGAGAGAGAGGAAGGAAGGAAGGAAGGAAGGAAGGAAAAGGGAAAGGAGAGAGAAAGAAAGGGAAA